ATGTCTGCACAAAACAGGGTTTAAGTTCAACAACTGAATTTCCCCTCTAGAGATCAATAAAGGCTTATCTTATGTTCAAATATCATGAACTTTCAGAGCTGTGAAGTCTAAGCAGTGTACAAAGCTCAATAACACAAGGTTTGAAATCATCACGCTCTAAAATCTGACAAATCCAGTCATGGAAACATTAAAACTATTTGCTTTGTCTCTTGGCCTAAATTCAAGAGAGCACACAGCCCATGGCATGTTTGAACACTATTAAACCATTCTCATTCTCATTCTCTACTCTAATAAAAAAAGATTATCAAATACCATTGTCAACAAGCCTGAGTACAACTCTTCCTCCTTCAATGCACTAATCACATCATCAGCCTCCCCATGTTCCTGTGTTTGGCGCTAACCTCTTTAGCTAAATGAGGTTCCTGTCATCATCACGATTCCTACAGTCACAGATAACTAAAAGGGAGTACCGAACCAGATACTAGTGCCAGTGGCAGCCAGCCAGGCTGAAAGAGATGACAGCAGAAGACAGGGAGGAAAGATCAAAACCTGCAGCCCCTATGAGGCTGAGCAGATGCTGTCAATTTGGATAAGTCCTGTGATGTCCTAATAGAGTTAACGGGTAGACATTAGTATACACAGTCAAGACTGCTCATCTACAGCTTCTTTGGCGCACAAGGGGAAAGCGCTAACTTTGTGCCGAGGCCCACATTGATCTGCTCACCACAGCAACGGCGTCGCTGCTGAGCACTTTGTCTGCATCCATGACGACGTAGTAAGCTACATTGGTCAAGATGTAGATCACTGTGACAATGGGCATGGAAATAGCGATGGACAAGGGCAGATTCCTACAATGGAAAATGAGAAAAGAGGAGTTCAACACAAACACACAGAGTACTAATTAAGCTTCAGGAAAACCAGTCTATACATTTTCAGTTCATTTGTAGCTGTGATGCTTACGGTTAATACTGGGTGAAATGAGGGATTGATGACTTATGACTCATAAGTAACATTATTAGTTTTAAGTCAGATTTATGGATTATACTGGATTTAGAGATTTTGGATACGTAAAGGTATGCAGTTAAGTAAAGCAATGCCATCAGGAATGAAAATCGCTTATTGTAAGTTCTTTCTGAAACACCAAGACCTCATACCTCTCTGGGTTTTTTATCTCCTCTGTGATGAAGTTGAGTGTGTCCCAGCCAGAATAGGAATAGAGTGCTGAATAAAGGGCGAGGGCCATCATTACCAGGTCACCTTAGAGCCCTTTAAATGAAGTCCTCAAATCTGGTCAAAAACCGTAGCAACAACACAGGTTGTTTCATGAATCCAGTACATACAATTTTGCTTTCATCATTCCAGGCTAAATTATTTTACTTTTTAACCATTTAGTGACAGAAAAGAAGAAAAAACAATACATAAAATGTATTAATACAGTTAATAACTAACCCATGTGAATATGGGTAGTGTTTGAACAAGCAGCGTCCAACATCAAAAAATTCTTATTTTCAGGTGACTATAAATCACACCAATTTAAAAAAATATACCTATGAAGGTTATATTCTATTTCTGCCTATAGATCCCCCTAAGTGTCACACACTGCACCTTTAAATGATTAAATGAAACTGATTTAATCCTAAAGTCATCCTTCTGCTTCATTCTGTTGATTTTCAGTGGTATTGGGTTACTTTGTTTGACTGACAGACAGACGGACATCCTACCTTGTGCAAGCTTAACCAGGCCAGCAATGATGATGACAATAAGGGCCAGGACCTTGGCTACAGTAGAGATGACCTGAAGAATAGCGCCCCATTTCACTTTCATACAGTTCACACAAGTCAGCAGACCTGATACAGAAAGACAGAAAGAGTAAGAAAACAGTGGTTAATCTGTAAAGATCTGTTTTACGCTGTTTACATTTAGTAAGAGCACAAACTCCACTAATCCAAGGTGGTGTATCTGGGTCTTTAAGAACCAAGCTAGCTAGCAGATTGTCATGTTGGTATGTTGACACCATTACTGAGTTAGTCTCTTCAGCTCATATCTACAGAACATGTTTAGGCTTGAACAGCTATATTTACATTGCTGTTCATAAATTATCTCGTAGCATCACAAGGAGGGTTAAGGTTGCCATTTCCTAAGTACAGTAGACTCAAAGTGGAGTTAAGAGGACATCAACAAGAATTAAGTGTAGTTACACACATATCCCTTTAAGTGCAATGGAAACAAAGACTTAATCAAGCAGCTGTTAGAAAAGTCCCCATGGTTAACCACAAAGAAGTGTGTCATTTAATTAAATGGTGCATGCATAGTTTAACACGTACCTGTAGTGCTGCTAACAATAAACCATTATATCAATAGGCCGTTTAAAAATGGTGTTTGCCGAAAATATATGTGCGACATATCACCTTTCAGCTATTGTGACAGCTTCTCCTACACTCTTTGTCAGATTTTACTCAACAGGCTGCAATTGACTTTATAGTTGCATGGAAGGTCAATGTGAACGAACAGCTAGGAGGAAACTGTCATTGTAAACCCAACAGTGCACAAGTGTAGGGTGCAAAACAAAAAGTAATGTAATAACCCACAGTGTATACATCTTAAAGCACCAGTGGTACTGGACTTTTGATAGCCAACAATGCAATTAAGCAAGCAGGCTGATTAGAACATGTATAGTAAATGATTGAGGTTCAATAACCAAAAGTAATCTCTTTTGTTCTTTCTTCAGGATACTCAAGTGGTCCAAAATGCTCCACTACATTCTGTTTAAACAATAGTTTTCTTATGCATCATGTTGCAAGTGGACCGCAGAGTAGCATGCCCAGATAAACATTAGCAGTTTCAATTAATGATACCCACACTGAGCAAGTAATGAGAGCAAAGCCACTCTGGGTTGTGAAAACAGCTGTATTATGTCTATCTGGTGCACTCAGGCTTTTAAAAGGGATGCTTTTGGTTAAAATTAATTCTGGTCAGACTTTCCTCTTGCTATGGACAGTGTACAGAATACAAATGTTGTCACAACTATTTTCTCTCACACACACACACACACACGCGCTCTCACACACACACACACACGCTCTCTCTCACACACACACACACACGCGCTCTCTC